AATGCCTGGCTCCCCCTCTCTTTGACTCCATCTCTGTTTCCCCTTTTTGCTGCCAGCTCCCCGGACTCTTCCCTCTGACTGTCCTCTCTGTGTCTCCCTTCCCCTGTTGCCAGGCAGACCTCCTCCTCTTCTTCCATACCCATCACTGCCTCCCTGCTCGGCCCCTCCATCCCCACAGCAGTGAGAAGCCTTAATTTCTGGTACTGTGTGAGCACTCTGGGGGTGTCCCCCTCCCCCTTCAGGGGCAGCTAGAGGATGAGGGGGGAGGGTATTTAGCACTGGGGCCTAGAGCTTTTCTCCCACTCTGTTCCCTATCACCTGTAAAGTTCAAATGCAAAACACTTGAAGCAGCAACTACTGTACCTGGGCCCCAATCCTGCACTCTCCCCCGGCTCCTCATATGCAAATCAAGGGCTGGTTCTGCCCCCACAGCCTGCCCCCAATTCTCCCACTCCTGGCCTGGCCCCTAACCACGCACTTTAACCTTGCTTCTTTCTTTTAACTTCTTTTTGGGAGAGTGGAGCCTGTGGCTATTCCCTCCTTAGCTCTCCTCTCCTTGAACTTTGAGGCTTGTCATGAATTTTTAAGTAAGCATTTTATTCTTTAGGGGAAGAAACAAATTAATTTCCTGCCCATTTCAAAAACAACAGCCCTAATATGTCCTCTTTGTTTCAGGCATGTGTTTGCATGTGAGTGGAGGAGTGTTCTTCCTCCTCTGTCCCTCAAACCCAGAATTCCTCCACACCCCGTTTGCCTCCACCTTCTGCCATGTCTGAGTACCCACTGCCCCAGTCACTCCTGATCTGAAGCCAAAGATGGTGGGAGGGGCAGGGGCAGCATAGGGACCGCTTGTTAGGGAAACAGGCCTCCCTCTGGTGGGACAGGGGAGCTCTGGTTAAGGGAGCAACAGGTGGACACTGAGGCTCTGTCCCTGCCTTTCCAGCATGGGGAGAGATGGGATTGAGTAGGCATTGCACTGATAAGATTCCTGGAACGTACCTGAGAAGCCAAACTGGGTTGGAGTGAGGAGGGGCAGTGTTCTCTCTAAATGTAGCATTGCATCTGGCCCTGGTCCCTTCAGATGCCTGTCCATCCATCTCCTTGGTGAGCCTCTGCACAGTTGGACCCACTCCTATTGCCCAGTGTCCCTTCCTCACACGCAATACCTCAGCCAGGGGCCAAGACACAGAACTTGAATAGAGGTCCTGTCCCCTCCACCCCACAGTGCATCCTTGCCCAGTTTGGCTGCCATCAGTATTGTCCCCTGAGAACTGGATGGGCTTCGTTTACACAGTACAGGGTCTCCCCTCGGGGATCCCTCCACCTCCTTCCCCTACCCAAGCTTGCTTTACTCACATTCTTACCCGTTTTCAGTTGTGCCCTTGAATGTCTTGCCACCCTTGCCAAGGGTGAGCTGAGGGGAGAGGAGCCATCCCAGGGATCTCGCTCTCCCCTCAGAAACCCTGCACCATACCTCACGCTGGTTCCCCGAAGCCTGGGGTGTTTGTCTGAACCCTTTTTTCCCTTTCATGGTCCCCTTTACTCTCTCTTGTGTCTTGCTACTCCCAATCCTCAGATCCTAAACCATTTCAAGGCTTCCAAATGACCGTTATTGGTGAGAAGGATTGTGCAGCTTTTAGTTTTTATTTTTGTTTTTAAAGCCAAAGGGCCTTGCAATGCCCCTCTTGCCCACCTCCCTTCATACCCTGTCCTCCCCTATACGACAATCAATGTGACCTCTCTTAAGGGCTGTAGCCCCCACCCTCACCCTGCTGGTTCTGCAAAGCTTGCCCCCTAACTTCAGTTCTCTCTCCTAAAATCTTCCCATTCCACCCCCTCCCTCTCATCATGGTGCTGGGAATTAGGTAGTGGGGGGCATGGAGAGCAGGGAAATGGGTCCTCTGGGGATGACTCGGGGTATCAGTCGTGTTCTCCTTTATGAATGCTTGGCGAGGACAGAAGGAATCTGAGTATTTGTCAGGAGCCCCATTGCTTTATTTTGCTAGATGAGATTTCTGGTGGCTGTTTATTCCCTGCTGTCCTGGGCACACTGTCAGCAGTGCTCGAAGATGGCAGGGAGGCCTCTGTCCCTCCTCATGTGGCTGTGAGGAGGCCTGGAGGACGAGCAGCCTCCTCTCCTTATGCCAAAGGAAATCCCACACCCCATGCTGGGCTCCTCAGCCCTAGTGTTTTTGAAGCATTTTGACCATTCTCATGGCCACTGCATATTTATTTTAATGTTAAGATTTTGTTTAAAACCTCTTTGACTTAAACGGGTGTGGAGGAGTAAAACAGGCAGAATGCCCCCCAATCTTAACAGGGGTTGGGTGGGGAAGGAGCATCTCCTTCCCTTTCCCTTTCCCCTCCCCTCCCCTTTCCCCACCGCAGCTCTAAAGCACTTGCTTCAAGTAATAAGCACTTTTGTGAAAAAGCCTATTTTAAGTGAGGACCCTGGGAGCAGCCCTAGGTCCCAGCAACGGAGACAGAGTGAGGGCTACATAGGAGACAGGGAAACAGACATGTGAATTAGAGGGCGAGATGAAAAGAGCCAGTTTTTTGTTTCTGATTTTTGGGGGAATGTTTCTGATTGGGCGGTGGCTTTGGTAGGGTTGTGTACTATTCTTCAGAAAAACAAATGGCACAAGCTGTGGGTCCCAGGATGGACCAACAGACCCGGGTCACTGCCGCTGTCCAACTGAGACTCTGAGACTGACGGGCCACCTCCCCCACCCCGTGGCCCCCTGAGCCATAGGACTGCTGAAAACCACTGAATGTACAGCCCATGTTGGGGTGGGGAGCAGCCCCTGGGGGAGGGGGCTTCTCCTTTTGTTTGGTGCTGTGGGGGGTGGGAGATATGAGATTGAGGGACTGCCACCCCACGTAGATGTGTGTTCTTTGGGGTGAAGGGGCTGAGGAGGGTCTCCTCCCTCTAACCCCAGCCATGGCTCCTCTTCCTTCCTCACCCCTATCCGTTTTGACTGTAAGTCCAGCTCACCTTTGCCTTCAATATGTAACCAAAGGAAAACTCAATACTGTTTCCACCACTGTCTGCCCACCCAAGCACCTTCTTACTCCCTGGACTTAGAAGGGGAGAAGAGGCTGGTGGTGGGGATGGTGGGGCCAGAGTGAACGGTTCTACAACTGTACCCCCAAAACCCTCTCCATGGTCTTGGAAGGGGTCCTGAGGTAGGGTGGGGCCGGGCTGGCGGGCTGGGAGTAGGCACACTCTGTATCTTATGCACATGAGTGTTTCTTTGTGGAAATGACTCCAGTGACTATGTTCCAGTGGGGAGGCCCCTTCCTCCTTCCCACTAAGCCGTTTCTCACCCTCACCCCACACCCAGTGTTCATCCCCTGCCTCTCCTTCCCACCGCAAAGGAAAATAGCCTTACAGACCCTAGCCCAGAAACCCTACTTCTGGGGCAAGCCAGTATGGGCCCCACCCCACCCGCCAAGTTTGAACCCTACCTTTTGAGAAGAAGGGGCAGGGAGCAAAGCAGCCTCTTCCCCTTTGTGGTGGTGGCTCCAACCCTCCAGGCCTTGACCCAGCTTGGGCAAGGGTGGAGGTAAGGAATCTTTGAGGACCAAGCCCAGTGGTCTGGGAAGAGGGAGGTAGAGAAAGAAGGGTCTGACTTGGGGACTCCCTCCTCCTGACCCAACCCCTAGAGAAGCGACCAAATTCCCAGAAATGGGAGGGAGCTAGGGTGGGGAGGGTCTGCTCTTTGAATTACTTGAAGGTACTGACTCTGAGGCTGCTGTTGCCCAAGTAGGTGTGAGGGGGACACTGTCACTGCATTTGGGAGGGCAGAGGATGGCGGGTGAGAGGATCCGCCCTTAGCCCTCGCTCACTCCTGTTAGGCCCTTTCCCTGGGGCCTCTGCAAGCCTGCCGGCCCCAGGGTGGGTGGGGAGAGCCTTCCCTCCTGTCTCCACCCTCACTCTGGGCACCCTCTCCAATTGCACTAAAGTAGCTGTTGTGCCAGTCTTACCCCATGCCAGGGTGGGGTCTCTGCTTCCAGTCTTTCCCACCGCCTCTGCTCCCATCCTGGACAATCTCCTTGTTCCACTTGTATTCCTGGATAGCTCAGCTTTGTGTGTGTGTGTTTGTGGGGTGGGGGTGGGTTTGGCTGGAATGGGTTTGGCAGGGGTTCTGGAAGGGCTAGGAGAAAGATGGAGGATGGAGTCTCCTACCCCCTTCCCTAACTCCAAGCCACAGAAGCCTGGGAGGGAGGGTGCCTACTCTCACTGCCGTGTGTCTTGCAGATGTGCCAAAATGGGGGTGGGTGGGAGGGGAGGGTGCCTGGCAGAGCAGCCCCTTGGGTGGCTCTCTCAAAGCAATACAGTTCCCCTGCTGGGGGACAGCAAGACAGGGGAGAGGGTTGGGTGGGGACCTGGGGGTTCCCCATGTACAGCTATGTATATTCAGGGGTGTTCTCTGTCTGGTACCCGCTGTGGGCATCTATGTGTGTGTGAACCTCCCCTTCCCCATGCCCTGCATGACCTGTGATGCTGCAGACACCACCATCCTGTGTGCAGGTGTGTGTTGGGGGGCACGAAGGGGCATGTTCCATGTCCTGTTGCACCCTCCACCCTGTGACCCATGTACTCGGTTGTAGGAAGTAAAGAGAACTGAGCACAATTCTGGATTCTAGTTGAATCTTTCTCTAAGCAATTTTCCCATTCCTATCCTGGATTCACCTGTGGTGCTAGTGTTGGGGTCAGGGGTGTTTAATGCTGGTGGGCAGCAATAAAGGGCAGACCTGCCCAGACATCTGCATCCCCAGGGTGCTGAGAGCAGCAGGAAAAAGTGGGGACCTCAGTGCATTTGCCCTTTCCCTCCTCCTCCTCCCTGGGCTAAAGCACAATGCTCTCCCTGAAGACTGATGCACCCCACACCCTCCAGACCCCCACTCGTGTCCTCCCCCAACCTGCTTTGAGCCCTCCCACTACACCCTGGTTTTCTATGCTGTTTTGGTGCAAGTACAACTGTCGTAGTCATGGCTTTGGGATGGGTTCTGTTTATTAAAATCCTATTGCTCCTACTGGCCCTGTGTCCCGCCTCCATTCCTGTGGTTGGGGGAGGGGGGAAGGAAGGGCAACCTGGATCCTTTGCCACTGGCCCCCATTAGCCATCAGGAACCATGGGCAATAGCTGCTCCTCCAGCAGGGCTATGGTAAACATGAGGCTGCCCCCCAGCAGCAGCCCCAGCCCCTGCAGAAGCACATGGAGCATAGGCAGTGGCTCAGGAGGACGAAGTAGGGCTGGTAGCTGAAAGGAAAGAAGACTGTCAGGATTCTGGTCTTAGCTATGACCTCCTTTTTGTCGGGGGCAGGGGGGATTAAAGGCATGTGCTGCCACACTTAGGCCACCTTATGACTTCTTAATTTGAGAGGGAGGGTGTCCTATATTAGCAGCCCCCCCCAACTCTCAAATGCTTTCTGTTCCTTATTTCTAGGGTCATGGGCCAATACCCTCCAGGACCTCGTGGTAGAGATGGAGGGACTGGTACTTCCCTCTCCTCCACACTCACCTCCCCACTGCCCTTGATTTCTCTATTCTACCCCACACTTCTCACCATATCCACAAGGGCCACATAGAGGAAGACCCCAGCAGTGATCCCGAACACCCAGGGAGTGAGAGGGACAGGGCCCAAGCTGAGCCCCACTCCCAGAGCTGCACCCCCCAGTCCCAAGGCTCCAGAAACCAGGCTCAGCAACAGCAGCCTCTGGAAGGACAGCCCTTCCTGGAGCAGCATTGCAAAGTCACCTGTTGAGGAGAAAGCATAAGGTAGGAGAGGATAAACCAGAGCTGCCCTCTCTCACCTTTGTTACCCACCAGCCTCTGAGTTCTGTTCCTCAGAGGTCTCAGTTCTGGATCCCACCTAACCCATTCCTACCCAGTTCATGGGGCAGCTCATGGCAGAAGACCGCAAGGGTGGTACTGAGGCCACTGGAGAAGCCATCAGAGAAGGCAGCACCTGGTATCAGCAGAAAAGGACTGTCAGGCAGTCAGGAACCAGTCTTGAGCTCCTTGCCCCATCTCTCCCACCTTCTTGGCAGCTCTCTCCTGCCCCTGCTGGTGGCTCTTAGAGCACTACCTCCCACCCTCCATTCCCTCCCCTCACACCTATGGCCAGCCCATCAGTGAGGTTGTGTAGGCCATCTCCCAGGAGGACCATCCACATGATACTGGTGCCATTGCCACCTTGGTGCCCATGACTGTGGCCTTGGTGCCCAAGAGGGGCTGGTGTTGGTGGGGACTGGCTGTTCTGCTCCCTCTGGCCCTGAGTCCCTGGCTCTGCATCAAGATAAGGACAAGTGTGTTGGTAGCTGCAAGTGAGAACTACAGGCTGTAGTAGACTCATTTTCTCCTCGAGTCACCTGGAGCTGTCTGTAGGGGCTGAAGGACCATCCCACTGCCATCCTCAGGGTCAGGGTTTGGTGCTCCGAGATCCCTTTTGCGCCTGCAGCATCTCTGAAATGGGAGGGTATCCCTCCTGGTGGAGGAGGCAGCAGGGCCAGGGGCTAAGGGGATACGAGGCCAGCAGCTGGGAAAACGAACACCTGGTTCCACTTCTAACACCTAGTGAATGTCCTTGGCCTCCACCCTCTTCCCAGGTTGGCACCTCCCTCTGTTTAATGTTAATTTGAACTCTGGAAAGGAGGTCATTTGGCCAGAAGTGCTGGGTCTATACTAAGAGGCCCATACCCACTCGGCTAGGGGACAGGTCCTGTACAATCAAGCAAACAGCCAAGATCCAGGAGCACATGCTGCCCCTCATCTCCTGGCTTAGTTGGCCAGTTCTTGGCTAGGACTCTGGTTTGGGCAGGAGAAGTAGAAAAGGGTGTCACTCACTGGCCTGAGCCCTCTGTGCCGCACAAGCCCTAGCATGTTCTCCAGCACGAAGAGCAGGAAGAGGCCACCAAGTACTGACAGCCCTGGGCCTAGGTCCTCTTCTGGTTGCCCACTAGGTCCTGCATGGTGCCCTCCTTGTGCCTGTCAGAGAAGAGGTCAGGGAAGACCTTGGAAGCCCCCATACCCAACAGCATCCCTTTCTCCCAGTGAGAGGTGGCAAGCTTTCACTCATACATCCTGGTAGAAGGCAGCTGTGGCTCAAGCCAGGGGTGAGGGATTGGGATGTGGGAGCTGGCAGAAAGGGTCAGGGGCTCCTATGGCTTGGAACACTTGGATCTATAGAGGTCAGCTGCCACTGGATCAGGGGTACGAGGATGGAGCTTAACATACATGTGGCAGCAGGTGTAGCAGTGCATCCCCACAAAGAGTGCCCACGGCCAGGGCCCCCAAGAAGCCCAGCATTGGCCGTAATAGACGAGGTCCCAGGAGCCGCAGCAACAGCAAGGAGAAGGGAGCAGGAAGGCTGAGCAACAGGACTGCCAGGGCACTATGAAGCAGGGCTGGGGAGAATTGGCTGATGTTAGGCCAGAACTGGCCCAGAGATCAGATGGAGGCAGACACTGAAGGGTGCCCAGGCCCAATGAACCCCCTCTTCCTTAGCATGGAGCCTACTCCCTTCCAGGATGCAAGATGCTCCCCATCCCACTTTCATCTACTGACCAGATAGTCCATCCCCTGGAGGTGCTGGAGCTGGAGTTTTGATGCAGACACGGCTGTCAATCTGGTAAAGCAGGGCTGGGCACAGCAGCGCAAACTGGCGAGGGGTCAGAGGAGCAGCGGGGCTCAGGCCAAAATTTACCAGCAGCTGGGAACCATTCAGACACTGGGAGTTGAGGAAAGGACCATACATTAGGGAGTCACAGAACTACAGCCCAAATCTCTGCATCTGTCCTAACATTACATGAAGTCCTAGGTCTCTCTTGGGGTCCCCTTGGTTCACACTGGCAGGTGCATCAGAGATGGAGGGCAGGAGTACTGATAATCAATGTGTGTTAATTACTGTTGAGTATTCAATCCAATATAAGTATTCAATTAAGTGAAAATTTTCCAATTTGCTAGTGAACACTACTGTCATCTCCCTCTCATGCCCTGGTAATTTCCTTGGTTTGGTGATGGAGCTGTTTGGGCAACTTGGCTAGAATCCTTCATGCCAGAATCCTAGAAGGGAAAGGAGCTTGGTATGCCATCCATGCTTTCTGTCAAAAGCCTTGTCATGTACTCATCCAGCGCAGGTACCCGTGCTTCCTGTGAAGAGTGCACTCTGACCACTCAGGGTTTGACAGCTTTCTGTCATCTTGTGTATGTGGAACAGTGGAAAAAGGAATGAGTGCACTGTTTTCTAGCTAGACACAACCATCCTCTCCAGAACACCTCTTCAGATCAGCATTCCTACATCATACCCTGGGATACTTTTCTGTACTATCTGTGGCGCCTGATCTTGGGCAACCTTCACCAAGCCTAAAGAGAACATCTTTCAATATTAGATAACATACCATAAGACCACATTGGGATTTTTTTTTAAGTAACTGAAATTACTCTTTAAAAACTTTAGGCCACCCAATCCCTTCCCCCTCTCTAGAGACCATTAGACTTACATCCTCATTCAGATGGTCAGCCAAGGAATGGTCCAGCAGGAGAAGCCTGTGAAAGAGGTCTAGACCCGAGGGTGCTGGCCCATGGGACAGGTCAGGGGCCTTTGACTCCTCCAGGTCACCCCAACCTGAGGGACCCGGAGGCATCCTTGCCCAGACATCCACACTCACTTCTGGGTCCTGTGGCCTGGATTGGATGAGTTAGCAAGTGAGACTTGCCCAAGCTCCCAGACATATGCCCTGATAGTCTTCCTTAGGAGCTTCTGGGAGGGAGAGACGACCACTGCCTACAGTTCTTATGACCCAGACAACTACAGTCTGTCCTGGGAAGGTCTGAGAGCTGTCATTTATGGGAGAACCCAGAATGGCAGCTGTGGACCTAAGGGGAAAAGCCAGAAGGCCTCCAAATTGGGAATTGGGGGCAGCCTTGGGACATTGGACATCAAGACCAAGAGCAAGGAATTTAACGACCTAGGAATTTGGAGGCAAGAGAGAATTAGAAAATAGAGGCAAGCAGAGCCTTTAAGGATGAGAAGTTGGGTGTTGGAGGAGTTGTAGTTCTGGGGCTTTGTTTCAAAAAGCTAGCACTAAGCTGCTGGAGACTAAGCTAAGCACTGAGAAGAACTGGAAGATGTGACATTTTGGGGTTGGGAGAGGAATTAGTACCTGTGTGTGAAATTGTCTCCAGTTGGGGATGCAGTCCGCCCAGTTGGAGGCTCATGGTGTCCTAGGCGCAGCCCCTGAACTCGGCCCAGCCCCAGGCTGTGGAGAAGCCGAGCTAGTCCCCCTGCGGTCAGTGTCCCATTCTCTCCATACAGGCCAAACAGCTGGGCCAAATAGTGGTTCTGTTCCTGCTCAGCTGGGCCCAGGTTATGGACTGATCCCCCTACCCAGCCCAAGACCACTCCCACACACAGGCCAGCCAAAAGATAACACACTGGGGGCCCCATCCTGGAGGGGATGGATTAGAGGCACTGGTTCCAGCTTCTATTTACCCCAGAACATCCTGAGGATTGTACCCTAGGAAAACAAGGAGGAAGGAGTCAGAGCTACTGTTCTGTTTGCCAGTTTAGGACTGAGGGGAATGGTCATATACGCCTGCCCCTGCCTAACCAGAGTTGATTGGTCCCCTCTAGAAGGCCAGGCCTCTTCTTTCCCTCCTCACTGCCTTCTGGAGCAGCCTCCTGACCCAGAACTCTCCCTAAATCTCATATAGAGTTAAACAACCATCCCAGTTCCCCTCTGCCCCACCCCCAATCTTGCCCCCTTTACCCCCCCACTCCCAATATCCAGGGCCTCACTCCTACTGATAATGTGAGAACTGTCACCTCAGCTCCCTGGCAAACCTCACTGTGGACCTGAAGAGATTCCTGAGTTAGGGAGTTCAGCCTTCTGGTATAATGGAAGCCACGTCACATAGAGAGTTGAGATAGGTTCCCCCTTAGCCCAACTGCTTTGGGGCAGGGTCAGGAGTGGGGAAAGTGTGGGAAGGTTCCTATAGGAGTTAATGGTTCACTGGTCTCTGGGATGGGGGTTAAAGGTCAGTCTCTATTGGGCCGACTGGGGAGGGGCTACCCTCTGCCCTGAAGAAGCCACATGGTTAAGAACCTATGCTCAGTATTTTCCTCTTAAATATTTCATCCCTCCTCTAACCCATTCAGTACCACTCAAGCCTTCTCCTAAATATACTCCATCCCACATACCTTATATCTGGCACTGAGCTTCATCGCTCTCCAACCCTATCCCCATGTTCCCTGGAAAGTTGGACCAAGGTGTCCCTAAGCTGGGAGGTAGGGGAAGAGGCAGATAAGTGGCAATCCCAGATGCACTCAGAGAAGAAACTGTTCTTAGCAATTCCCCACTCTGGGAAGCATAAGAGCTGGCAACTCCCGAACCCAGCAAGCATTAAGTGCCAGCACCCTGGGCTTTGCAATCAATGAATAAGAACGGGGAAGCCCTGTTGAAGAAAGGAAGCAAGAACCAGGCTCCCCTCTGACATCTGACCTGGCTTAAGACCAGGGGAGCAAAGTCTGATTGAAGTAATTGGTCCAAGGGGTCGAGGTTGGCATTACCTGACAGCAGGAGACAGAAAGGACACCCAGAGGAAGGGAACCTAGCCTTCTTGTGGCGGGCAGGCTGGACAAGGTTCACCTGAAGGGAGCGGGGAAGGGAGGGACACTATCTTAAAGGGGCAGGCCTGTTTTGCCTAGGCCTCCTTGCCTGGGTACTCCGTTCCTTAAGTGCATACCTCCTAACTTCTTTTCTCACAAAAAGCAAAGGAGTCCAGGACAGTGGGAACATTTATTAGGAAGGAGGGATTTCAATTAGACCCTCAGATCCCATACAAGAAATAGACTGTTGTTTCTCGAGGAGGGAGGACAGGCAGAGGGGCCTGAATCCCAGGGGACAGGCAGCTTCAGCTGGACAAAGAGGGTATGAACTTGAGGATAAGGCCACTGCTTATCGCCCCTCCAAGGAAATTTAGTGGCTAAAATACTGCTACCCCACCCTCCAATCCCAAAGCCAGCAGTTTTCCGGCAGACACTGGGTTGTGGTTGGTGGTGGCAGGGGAAGATGTATTTCTTGCTATCTCTTGCTGCTCCTACGGGTTTCTTTGCCGTTACTGACAGGGTTGCTGGAGGGGCCAGGAGGGCCAGAAGGTGTGTGGTTGGGCTGGCTTCGAGTGATTCGGGTGCTGGGAGGATGGGAGGGAGTGTGAGAAGGATGGGGGCCACCACCAGGACCTGGTGGGGTACTCAGTCCATTCCCGTTCTGGCTCTCAGAAGCTAGTTGTAAGAAAGAAACACAAAATTAGATAGGTAGGATGAATCTATCCCCAAGGCCTAGTTCCATACTCTAGCGAGTGGATGAGTTTCCATGCCCAGCTGCACACTGATTCTGACTGGACCAAGCACATGCCTCAGTGAAGATTTGATAATTTTGGAAGTTGCTATATTTATGTGTATCACAATGATACAGGTTCACTTTAGAAATTATAAATGTAAATTAAAAACTATTATATGTTAACTCTCCAAAGACTTGCTTATTTGGGTGCTGGGGATTGAACCCAGGGCCTTTCTACCACTGACCTACACCCATCCCCTTGTGCCTATTTTATATTTATTTTATGGTATGTGTGTAGGTCAGAGGACAACCTCCAGGAATTGGTTTTCTCTTTCTACCATGTGGGTTCCATGGATTGAACTCAGGTTGTCAGGCTTGGCATCAAGTGCCCTTACCTGTTAAGGCATCCTGCCAGCCCTCCCTCTCCTTATATATTTTAAACACTTGACTGGAACCAGGAGTGTGAGACAATTTAGCTCTAGTAACTGCACCATCACAGTCACTGTATTTATTGCAGCATATTATAATTATTCCTATAGGGCTACAAGCCCATAAAGACAAGCACTACGTTTTATTCCTTGACATATAGTAGGTGCTCTATAAATGCCTGTTAAATGAACACAGAAGACTGCCTCTGGAATACATAGAGCATTATGAACCCTAAAGAACATACAAGTTATAGATTACTAGTTCTCAGACTACATCCCTACTTAGTTTTCTGTTCTACTGGACTAAGATATTCGTAGCCCAAACTGAAGAATAAAGTCCTTTCCTCAGTTCACAAATAAAGGTGAATAAATAGAACTCAGTGTTAAGTTTTTATGCCATACACTTATTTTTATCTTATGTGTGTGAGTGTATTGCCTGCATGTATATAAGTGCACCAGTTGAGACCAGCCTGGTCTACATAGAGTTCTAGGCCAACTGGAGTTACAAGGTCAGACTCTGTTTCAAAACACACACACACATACACACACACACACAAAACCCAAAAACTTTTGGGGCCTGAAAAGATGGCTCAGTGGTTGAGAGCACTTGCTGCTCTTACAGAGGACCTGGGTTCAGTTCTCAGCACCCACATGACAGTTCACAACCCTCTGTAACTCCAGTTCCAAGGGATCCAACCCAGTGTCCTCTTCTGGTCTCCAAGGGACTAGGCACATACATGTTATACATACGTACAGAGACAAACAACACACTCATACACATAAAAATAATAACATCTTTTATTTTTTGTTTCTTTTGTTGTTGTTTGTTTGTTTGTTTTGAGCCAGAGTGTCACTATATGGCCCTGGCTGGCCTGGAACTACTTATAGACCAGGCTGGAGTCAAACTCACAGAGATACACCTGTCTCTGTCTCCTGAATGCTACGATTAAAGGCATCCATTAGATCCCCTGGAACTGGAGTTACAGATGGCTGTTTGTCACCATGTGGGTAGTGAAAACCAAACCCAAGTCCTCTGCAAGAGCAGCCACTGCTCTTAACCACTGAGCCATCTCTTCAGTTCCTTGTTTCTTTTTTATTTATTTGAGACAGGGTCTCACTATGTAGCACTGGATGGCCTGGAACTTGCTATATAAACCAGGCTGGCCTTGAACTCAGAGAATCCACCTGCCTCTGTCTCTCAAGTGTTAGGATTAAGGCATGCATCAGGAGCCCCCCCCCCCATTTAAACTTTTGTATCTGGGGGCTGGAGATGTAGCTCAGTTTGTAGGGTGTTTCCCTAGTGTGTTGGTTAGCTTTAATTGTCAACCTAGAATTACTTACTTGGAAGAGAGGGATTGTCTATATTGGTTGGCCTATGGGGGATGGTAATTAAGTTAACAATTATGTGAGAAGATGCAGCCCACTCTGGGTGACACCATTCCCTAGGCAGTGGGTCCTGAACTGTGGGGTTTTTTTTGTCTTTTTGAGGCAGGGTTTCCCTGTAGCCCCAGCTGGGCTAGAACTTGCTATGTAGAACAGGCTGGCCTCGACCTTAGAGAGATCCACCTGCCTCTGCCTCCTGAGTGCTGGGATTAAAGGCATGTGCCACCATGCCCAGCTTGAACTGTTTTAAGGTAGAGAAAAGCATGTATGAATTCATTTTCTCTGCTATTGACTGTGGATATGTGACTAGCTGTCTCAAGCTCCTGCTGCCATGACTGCCCTGAGTGGGATAGATTATAACCTGGAATTGTGAGCTAAGATAAACCCTTTCTCTCCTTAAGTTGCTTGTTGTCAGGATATTTTACCACCACAACAGAAATAAAACTAGGTGGGCTGGAGAGACTGCTCAGCATTTAAGAGTATTTACTGCTCTTATAGAGGACCGGGTTCTGTTCCCAACACCCACATAGTGGCTTTCAACTATCTGTAACTTCAGCTTCAGGGTATCTGATACCCTCTTTTGGCCTCCAAGGATGCTGAATGCCACATAGTGTACTTAATACAGGGAGGCAAAACACTCATACACATAACTGGAGTTATGGATGGTTAGCTGCCATGTGGGTGCTGGGAACTGAACCTTTGCAAGAGCAGCCAGTGCTCTTAACCTCTCAGCCATCTCTCCAGCCTGTGTATATCATTTTAAGACAGGATCTCTCTATAGTCCTGGCTGGCCTGGGGCTTGCTATATAGACCAGGTTGGCTTTGAATTTACAGAGATTCTCTTGCCTTTGCTTCCTTAGTTCTGGGATTAAAGGCATATACTACCACAACCAGGTTATATACTACACTTCTTATTGTTATTTCAGAATATAATCCTTCTATTTATAAAAAGAATACCAAGTTTAGTGGGGTTTTTTGTTTGTTTTTAAAGACAGGGTCCACTGTACTCTAGACTGGACTGGAATTTATGGCAATCTTCTTGCCTCCTCCTCCTAGTGTTTGGATTACAGGTGTGAGCCACCACACCTGTAAAAAAGAAAAGTTAACTGTAAAACAGCCTCAGGCAGACCCTTCAGGAGTTATTACAGAAGAAAGCATCAGTGTATGAGATAGCACTTCCCCTGAAGACCTGTTAGTAGAAGGTATATAGGACAAAGATTAATACTGATGATCCTGACCTATATAAGTCTAAGCTAATGTATCTGTACTGCAATTTTTAACAAAAAGTTTAAATAAAAATAATTTTTTAAAAATTTAAATACCATATAGCTTAGGTATGTAGTAGGCCATATCTTTGAGGTTTGT